CTGAATAGCTGAGATAATGTCATTGTTGTTGCTTTTGTTGTTTCTCACATTAGCTCTATAGTCCACAAAAAATGGGGAGCCCGTGGTCTCAAAACCCGGCACATACGACGCCGCGGGGGAAACGAAACAAAAATAGGGTACAAACCACTCGGAAAAAGAAAACAAAATGATAGAAAGAAAATAACAGGTACCGCACCGACCGTTCGAGAAAAGAGCTCTCGGAAACCGATCAAAATCAAACAACAAGAAAAATAAATGTCATTGTACATTGGCGATCCCGTGCAAGACATTTGTCCGCGTGGGGATGAGAAAGGTACGATGCTTGCTCAAGGATATATCCGAGCACGCTTGGCAAGTCTAGGTGGGCACGCCTCGGAATACAGCAATACAGCAGTGAGGGACACGGCGGTTCTCATGAGCAAGAACGAGATTCCAGAAGAGACTACCGTAATTTGCACACAACTCACCTACGTCGTTTTCTTTTTTCCAACTATGCCAAAAAAAGTCTACGGGTTGTCGGGATATGTGCTTGACGACCCGACCGGGGACACACAAGGCAAAAAGCAACCACAGGATTTTTTTTTTCACCTTTCCTTCTGGGGTGCTTGGCTTCAATAAAGATTGTAAGCAGCACCTTCCCTCTTACTTGTGCTTCCTCACGACAATAATGCCAAATCAACTCTTGCGTTCATCGCTCTGGAGACGGAGTTTTCAGACTTTAGACCAAACAATAAGTGCAGAGAATAATAGCTTGTTTTAAGCAGAAAACAATAATACAGACAACACATCTATTCCCTGCTGCCGCTGCTGCGTGTAGACTCACCTTCTGCAAGTCCTTGGTCTTCTGGCCGATCTCGTTGGCTTTCTTGAGCCCTTCCATCATGTTACCCATGTTGAAACCCCCGTCCTTCTTGTCTCCCCCTCCGCCCTCCGCGGGCTTCGCGCCACCTCCGCCAAAGAGCATCGCAGGCTGTACACATCGGGAGGAAAAGGGGGGTTGGGGGTTGGATAAAGGAAAGGAGGCACAAACGCAAGCACAGCGAAAAAAAAACAAAACAGAGGCGGGTAGTGGAGGGGGGCGGCGGCTGACAGTTAACCACAAAAAGAAAAATCTGCGAAACGAGTTTCCTTCGTTTTTTTTTTTCTGTGTGCCTTTTCAAGTGTGCCGGGCCTATGTGCTACACCGATGAAGAACCACTTTCGCAGCAGTAGCACGTCAGCGTACGCCACCAACCGTGTACCACACGGTCCTCGGTGCGGTTTGCAGTCGAAAAGTATCGCTAAAACTGTAGCAGCCTTCCGCATATGCCTTGTGCGCGACACAACGTTACGAGATGTTGGAGGCAGCACGTTTGCCCCGCTGCACCTCAGAAGAGTGTGTGACATGGTTCCTTATTCTTGGCCTGACTAGGTAAATCAAGGCTTTGTACCCCGGTTCGAAGTGTCGCCAGCGCTGCTCCCTGAAACGCGGCCCTTCAATACCCGTGCGCACAACCCTGTCCCTTGTTAGCCTAGCCTGTGCTAACCCTAATCCTCAGACCTGAACATCAACACCGCTGACAACACGCGCGTCCGCGCGAAACATATAATAATCTCCGCCGGTATAATGATTTTTCTGACGGCATGTCTCCATACACCACGCTACCGCATGCAGGCGACATACAAGAAACCACCACCTGGACCAAAGTTTCAAAACTCGAATGCTCCACAGCGCATAGACAGGCGGTTGTGCCGAAAACGACGCTCCTCGTTAAGAGCTTTCTGACAATACCTCTCTTGATTCGTGCATTGTCTTCGTCGTGTGCATACTCGAGCATTAAATATTGGTCTAGAGCGGGTACGGTACCCCACGTCACCTACGCTATAATTGCGAAACAACAGCCGGCGAGGGCGCCCGATAGAAGGCGGGACGTGAAAAATGGTGCCCTTGGGCCGCTGTCTGACGCCTCGGGGGAGCAGAGGGAGCCAACTCCAGACCAGTAGGACAACACGTCGTTCTCCTTTGAGGACGAAAGTGCTGTCCGGCTGGTCCGCAGTCGGCTCCCTTCTTCTACGTCTACAGGGATCAAAGGGCGCCATCTTTTTCGTTGCGTAAGTCCTGGCGGGTGCCATCGCCGCCCGTGGCTTCGTCTACGGAGACGTGCCGCCAGAAATGCGTTCATGGATTGACAACAAGCTTACGCTAGATGAGCGTGTCTGCCGCAGGAGTGTCGTGAACGAACAAGATTCGAAATGCATGCCCAAGCTGCAAGGATTTTCGTGAACCGGTGGCGAACCGGACCTTCCTTGTCTATTCAGCTGCCGGTGTTTGAATGGCGAAACAGGCCAAAGTCGAGCCTCGTCCGCCGCAACAGGCGCAAGCTACAGAAACTTGGGGGTAAAAAGGCGTGAAATTCCCTACCGAGTCATGTTTGAGGAGGGGATGAGATTTGCGATAGTGCTCCAGATTGGCATTTGAGGCCCCGGTCGGGCAAGGGTGGGGGTATCGAAACGAGGGTTCTGGCTCCCCACGGAGTTTCACCCGGTGAGACGAGCATCCCTCGAGACGACGCACCGCTCCTCAGCTCCAACGATGGACCTACAAAACAAGTCAACGTGCTGTTCTACACACATGGACACGGTTCACGCAAAAATTGAGAAAAGTGCGTCTTGCTCCGTCCCTGCGAAGTCAAACCTTCCGAAAGAAACTCCAACTGATGTGGCGATCTGCATTCTACGACATACTCCTATGAATTGATGCAGCAGATCACCGGAGTATATATCATAGCACAGAAGTTTAGCGGTTTGCCCAGGCACAGCATCAGTTTGTTGTGTGTGCATGTCTACTTTCAGCATCGACCGCACTAACCTCACCAGCTGGCCATAGGACGTGCGTCAGTCTCGGTGCGGTTCAAAACAAAAGGGGCTTCTTGACCACACGAGCGACCGACATAACATCATGACGGTCGGTATTTCCGACGGTTCAACGTTCAAAGTGGTCATCTCGAGAGGGCGAGCTGTCAGCAAAATAGGCTCGGTATCAAAGGAGTGGCAAGCGTCATGCCCTCAGGAAAGTATTTAACAAGTCCGCAATAGAAACCACCGTCAACACCGACGTATTAGGGGTGCAACAGCAGTATGCTACGATCTGAGAAACAGAGGTTCATAAGGCCGGCCTTGAGCCTCTAACAGTCAGCTGTTAAAGAGCAGTCCGATCACGGAAGATACCACACATGCCTGGTATATGCCGCACAGGACACAAGATAACACACTCCCTGGACCGATTTTCAAAGCTCGATTACTCCACGACGAAGATGATGCATAAACGAAAAGGTACGTTTTCGGAGAGCTCTCGACCAGACGGTTTCAGCGCTGGCGTTTTCGTCGCCGCGGCTCTTTCTGCTGCTGTTGATCAATCGACCTTTGAAATCGGTCCAGGCGGTGTGTTATCATGTGGAGCAACGGATTTTTTTTTTTTTTTTTGTTTCTCTCCCATCATTGGACTCTGCCGTCTGCCCCTCTGGCCCCTATCCTCCACTTCTACTGGCTAGACGACCCAACCGGGGTCACATAGGAGGGGGGGGTTGGACCCCCTCCTGCGGTTCATGCCTGAGGTATTTTTATCGCGAGAAGGGTACAGCAATCCCTTCCCTCGCGACTTACGAAGTCGATTATGGTTTACTAACAAAGGAATGTCAATACACAACGCCTTGCTGCCGAAAACAGGCGTACACGTCTCGACAGAAAACGTACATCACGTTCCGTGCAGCAAAGTGCCTTGAGCCAGCCCAATGGAAGGGATACCGCGCGTCCACTCGCATGCGTGATAGGCATCAATCTTGTTGTATTGAGTATTGACGTATCTACAGACAGCCGTTTTTTAGGTCATTCTGGTGAGGTCTGGTTGATGCGCCGAGTATTTAGATACTCTTCCTATGCATTCCAGTCAGACACCGACGACCATCGCCTACGTGAATCAACCATCCAACTTTCCTCAGCCACCCTCGCCGTACATACGTTGTAGCACTTCTGCAGTTACGCCTCGAAGGCGGTGATGCCCTTACGCCCTCCTCAACCTCAAGCAAAGTGCACACACTCACACATCACACACCCGAGCGTGGAGCCCAGAGGGGAGAGCGAGAGCACGTGTCTGCCGCACATGACACTGCTGTGACATGAACAACGACCGGCAGCCGTCGCGCAGGAGCTCACAATCGTCCTCCTACCCCTTCATCCAAGACAACTGCCTTGCGGTGGGGGCATGGGAATGCACCAGGCGTGCTTCTAGTTGGTGCAGAACGCCCCATACGAGGTCGTGGCGACTCGGGGCTTACGGTTGTAGCTCTCTCGTACCTGTTGCGGTCGCGCAGTGGTCAACGCTCCGTTCTTGGCAGCACATCGGTGCTGGGCGCCGACAAAAGACGACGAGATAACGAAGCCCTGCGCTGGTGCGAGCAGCGCTACGGCGGTGGCGATGGAAGCGGTTACCTTCATTGCTGCTGGTGTGAAAAGCTAGTGCAAGAGAGAGTTCTAGCTCTTGCCAGTCGGGTTGTGCATGAGCTGCCGGCCGGCTAAGCTGAGGGGCGGGGGTACGCGTATGAAACAACGGGGTACCGGTGCATCCGCGGTGCTCCGCCATCATGAATCCGCGGCGCGCCGCTTTCTCTTTATCACACCACAACACAGCAGTACCAAGAGGTACAGGGATTGTACGCAAAACGGAGAACCCAGAAAATGCAGAGAAGTGTCTGAGCAAATATAATGGCATAAACGTGTGTCCGCCGCACTTTATACAAGGCAGGATGCTGGCATGAACGACTTGCGTTTGGGTAAAGGGATAAGATGCGAAAAAAAAACGCGAGCCTTCGGCTCACCGCCCCCATTTGTGTCCTTTGTAAAAGGAAGGGTACGAGTAGGCGCGAGGGTACAGCAGTAGACGATTTCGAAAGGTATCACCCCACATTCCATAAACAAGCTTGTGGGTGCAACTGTAGCCACAACTGTATCAGAAATCTGCCGGTGCGGACGAAACCTCGATGAAGAAACCTTATCATTTGCCAGGAAACCGGCCCCCAATATTGTTCCTTCGCATCACAACCACCCGAGTTGTACCTACCGTGGAGCAAACCTTCCCGTCACGTATCCCTCACTCTGCACTCTACCCGCTTCGGGAAAATAAGTATCCCAAGTCCGAATTTGAATCAAAACCATCTGCTATTGTTCGTGGTTCACATGCCAAAAATACAAAACAACCTTGGAAATTTTTTACTCCTTGATATTCCCTAATAGGTTCATGGGGAGAGCGGAGAAGGCGCACTTTCCTGCGTCAGAAAATGAGGGCAGCGACTCTAGGAGCTTCTTCCTTCGTTATGCTATACCGCTGCCCTTCCATCCAACGATAAGAGCGGTCGATACAGAGATGGTCGCCGGTCCCTGAACAGTCCCCACCCCGCCCTCTGAAGGCGGACCCCCTCGAGATCGAACGTGTGCAAGATAATTTCGCCACCCGGACCGCCCGGTTCGCCGCAGGAAAAGTGACGAGAGTGACCAGGCGTTACAGCAGCCGATGCCGCACCCATTCGAGAAGCGTCGATCGCCGTACCGTTGCCGCCCTCGGATTCGCCTCTATTGCTCGAGACGTAGGAGCATTCTACCACAATTTCTCCTGTTTGATCCGCGATGAAGGAGCTCCCGTAAAAGGTGATATGGCTGCCGGGGTATTCTTCGCGGCCGACCCGGTTCGAGGCCACTACGGGAACCAAGTTCGCCTATATATGTTGTGGTGCGTTTCGTGTGTGGGCGTAGAGGGGAGGGTGGGGGCGGATGAGTGCAAGCGATCACAACAAGCACGCGTACGCACTCCGACATCGACCTCAGCTACATAAGTTGTGTGGAAGAAAACGGTGTCACCATCCTCGGTACACCGCATCATCCCTCTGAGATTGGCACTTCCCTCAAACCCCGAACAGACAATACAATTGATAACGATGCGTATTCAAACAAGTCATCCAGTCAAGTGCGCCTCGAGATATTCCCGGAAAAAAACAAGCCGCCTGCACGTGCCACACACGAATCGCGCCCTCCTGCCCGTCATCCTGTCCGTTCTCGGCGAGAGAGCATCGGAAATCGCTAAAACCATGCTCACACACAAACACAGAGCACTGCTATTCATGAGACTCACCCCAGCGTGCCCCTGCATGACCCTTCTCCAGTGAGCGCTAGAGTTCAAGGTCGGGTCTTGAGGCTCCGAGCCGATGGCCGTGGGGTACAGAAGGAGCTGCGTTGGACCGAGCGTAGCGTGTTTTGAAAGGAGGGGAGGTCGCCGTCTGCGTGAATAATCTTGTCACATAGATACATCAAGACACGTTAAAGGAAGAACCCAAGGATCGATGCCCGACCTCAGGTCTGGGAGCGAGCGGGCCTGTACCCGCGAGTCGTTCGTGCCACCACGACAACGGACACACTTGTCGGTGTCTATCGTGCACTTCAAAAACAGAGGGACGGAAGCACCCCCTCTACCGTATCCATCCGCAGGTCACCGAGAAAACACCGACAGTTAGACCCGTCCGGTACGGGTACAGCACTTCCGACATGTCGCCCAAAGAACTCGCCATCCTCCCGGGTTGCGCTGCATCGCGTTCCGTGGTTGCTCCCTCCCTAAAGAGCGATGCCCAAGCACAACAGACAGAAACGGCTACAACAAAAGTATAATGTACCTCTGCACCCTGCAACGCCATCGAGCGCGCGGCCTCGGGGAACCACTGGTCCCAGCAGATCGCCACTCCTATCTTTCCGAACTGCGTGTCGAAAACCTTGAAGCCCGTGTCACCAGGGTTGAAGTAGAACTTTTCCTGTGTGCGTTTTCACCCGTCGAAAATGGAAACCGGCGTGTACGTGGATGACTTCATAGCTGTCAGGACCTAAACGTTGGGTGGTGTTTGAACCCTAGCCATGTAAGCCCCCTGGAGATTGGACAAAAAAACGGACGATTTTGCGAATAGTAGCGGTCTGTCAATAGTGTCATCTCGGGTGACCCTCTAGCGACCGCTATCCGGCTGTTCACAGGTGCGCCGATTGTGAGCAATAACGGTTGCGGTAGACTGTTGCTGTTGGTGAGCTTCCCCACAACCCGGTGCAAAGAGGTCGGTTCAGGAGGGGGTTCGACGAATGCAGTGAAACATGCCGGCAATGCTGCAAGTCGTAATGGCGCCAAATGGGGCCGTATCGTAAAGTGGGGGCTTACGTACGTATCGACTGCGTATTGTTGTATGGGAAGGGTGCCCAGCAAACGGAAGAGGAGACACATGTCCGACGGGTCACTCTTTTGCCTAAAAAATTACAAGCATAGAGGTTCCACCAACGTCCCATGACCAACAACAAGAGACTGGTGAACACAAGAGCAAAGGAAGTTTTTCAGTTTTTCAACCGCACAAACCTGATAGCCGGGCCCATCCGGAATGTGGCTCTTGCGATACAGCCCCAAGCGCCGTCCGTCCGCATCGAAGACCACAACCGAATTGAAGAACGCATTGTTGCCCCGCTCGAAAAAACTAATGGGCAACACCTTTTAGTGGTGTGAATTTCCGTGGGCAACGATATCATTGTACGGGGGCGCGGGGGGGGGGGGGGGGGGGGGGGGAGGGGGTTG